AGAAATGAAAATTACCTATGCCACTATGCAGCCATTTGTCTTAGTGTCATTAACTTTTGTTAAAACTTATAAATGAGAGGCGGAAGATATCAAATGTATATTGAAACTCACAAGCGAGTCAAAGACAAACTGACAACGACATGGCAAAAAACGAAAAACGACGAAAAGACATACACAGTATACAAAACATAACTTGGCATAGGTGAGAGTCGGAAGATATCAAAGGTATATTGAAACTTACAAGTCAAACTGACAACGATATGGCAAAAAACGAAAAACGACGAAAAGCCATACACCAGTATACAAAACATAACATAGAAAACTAAAGACCGAGCAACACGAATCCCATCAAAAACCGGGAGTGATCCCAGATTTTAAAAGAAATGCCGAAAGGAGTTTGAAAATTGTATACCTATGATTGAAGTTCATCATAGAAATGCCCTCCTAAGCAACTATTTACGGGTAAATTTTGGAAGGCAAAGATCGTAGTTTCCAGTCTTTTTTCTAATGAATCCAGGGTTTAACACAGAAACTACAATGATGTACACATTTTTAATGAAACCTTGATTTATAATTTTTAAAAAGGAACCTTTAAACTTGAAACTGTAAACATGATTTGATTAAGTTTTATATAGCAAATTTCAATAAAACATTGTATTTTCATGTCAGTACCTAATTACCAAGCACCTGGGCTTTTGATAGTATCATATCATCGGGAAAGAACGGTCCACAAGCAGAGGTATCGATCAGGTGGTAATAATAACCTTCAATGGTACACATTTTACTACACAACACCGATTGTGCTTTTAGACAATAAATGACTCCTCGGTGATGCTTGAGGCTATAATGATTGAAAATTCAAACCCAATACAAACGTTGAAGATCAGAAATAATCGAAAAGGACCAAATGAGGGAGAAACATTACTTTAATTTCGAATGATTTCGTAAGTTTAATATTCAGCAAACTTCAATTAAACATTACTTTATGTTCATGCTATTTCCTAAGTACCAAGCTCCTGGGCTTGTGAATCCACTGATAACCTCGGGGATTTACAGTCCACAAGCAGATGTATCGATTAGGTGGTAGCGGTACAAATTTACTACATCTCAACAATTGCGCATTTCGACATTTAATGTCTCTTTAGTGATGATTGAGGCTAAAATCATTGAAAATCCAAAACCTAATACAAACGTTGAAGATCAGATATAATCGAAAAGGGCCAAATGAGGGGGGACACATTCCCCAATTTGAAATGAGTTTTATTCACAACATGGAAGTGAGATCAGAGTTGTATCACGATACAAATATTCAGAGTTCGTTGATTGTTTGCACATTTTATATTTTTATATTCGAAACTTATAGATTAAGAAAGAAAAAATAATTGCTGTGATGGATGCATTTTTCTCCAATTCCACCCATAGCAAGAATCAAAATTATACTGCGTCATTCGAATATGATTTCACGTTAATTAGTCCAGTTTAGATATGCATGCCTTAGTGGCACAAAATCAAACCTACAGACTTTGCTGCGGTTGAAGCGCTTTTATTTCTGGATTCATTTTCAATCGGTATACCTAAGTCAATCAATCGGTATACCCCAAGTCAATCAATCGGTATAACCAAGTCAAAACGTTTGTTTTTCAGAAGTAAATAAAAGAAAGAAAAGATAGAACAACTGTGTATACTAGTATATAGATTCTCAGCATATGAATAAGATCAAGTATACAAAAAAAAAATAAACACAAGAAAACTAACAACCTAACAATAAAGAAAGAAACGACGAAGGACCCCTTCGAAAGAACGTCTGTTCGCAAACCACACCGAGTCTACAAAAGTTTAAATTAATTCAACAGAGACCATCAAAATCGGCTATCAAATCAAAGTTCTTTAACGGGAAAAATCACTAATATATAATAAAGGTAACCACTGAGGGGTTTCTCAAAATAGAACAGCCCGCGACATTAATTTATAGCTGGGTAACACTTATTTTAGAACCCAACACGCTCCCCCTTTAATTTACATACGTACCCACTTCATAATTTGAATTCTTATTTTTTTTAGATCCAAGAGCAGTAATTAATGGTTACAAAACACCTTTCACCTGAACGTTTCAAGAAAAGCCAGAAGTGGCGTAGGAGGACTTTTTAACGAATACAAAATGCTATAGAGGCAGTTGGGATGGGTAGAGTGTTTTTTTATAACACAAATAAAATTATTACATAGTTGTGCCTCAATTCTCAATTGTTTTGCGAGGTATACACAAATTGCTGTTCGGTTTGAATGTTTGAAAATAAATGTAAGTGTAATCAACTTAGAATGTAATACTGAGTGACTGTAAGAGGTGTATGTGTAGCCATTAAATCTTACGTAGAACATTTATTTTATACTGACAGATTTATTTAGAAAATCTTACAATTCCCAATCAACTCAAGTAATGGGTTGCAACATACTTTTAGTGAGGGCATATTATATTTCTTAACCGAAGGAACCCGCACAAATGAGCCCACATAACCCCTTTTTTTACGACAACTAACTGGGAGAAATTCAGATGTGGATTTAGGGGGTAGGGCCCACCTCACTTATGGATCAACATATATAGTTAATGCATAAACATTTTACATGTCCCACTCCTAACGTTGCCTAGTTTGCCACCAATACACACACACACACCCACACACACTTTTTCAAAATCCTTGATCTGCATATGAGAACTAATGATGAAATGCTCTCTACTGCAAGAGTTAAAAATAATTGAATAAAGTGTAAATTAAACATCTTGAAATTTCAAATTTTTAGAACTGCTTTAAATTACAACTGCAATTCATCAAGGATTTGTATAGTAACTATACAAATCCTTGATTTCAGCATTCTAGCTTCAACCACATGATGTGCATTTTACTATCCATATGTCCATATACTTGAATTTGAATTTGAATTTATACTAAAACATCTAGAAGTTTTTAGTATTTTGCCATTCGGTAAGGGACTTTCCGTTTTGAATTTTCTTTGGAGTTCGGTATTCTTGTTATTTAACTATTTGCTAGTAAACATACAATTCTTGATCCCAACGTTAAAACATTGTACAAATAAACAGTGTTTTAATACGAAAAAAATTGTAAGGGGACGACCATTTGATATTCTGGGGGGGGGGGGGGGGGGGCAGGAGGATTTGTTTTGGATCGGTTATTTATTTTTGTAAACTAAGAGGACAGATTGTCTATTTTCTGCACTATTGAAGCAAGATTTTTCATTTTCATTAAAGCAAGGGACTGATTATTTATTTTCACAACTATATTTATAATATTCGAAATACAATTTTTAAATTATTTGTTTATTATAAATAATTCATGTATAGTCAAGTCATTATGTACCATTTAATCAGAAATAATTAGTATCCTCTGCAGAAACGAATATTCTATATTCCCCAATGCATATACCTGTATTGCATACATACACAGTATCAAAGTTTGGTTGTAACTAAGGCTCTTTTAAAAGTATTGGTAAACATGTTTCGCCGAGCGGAGCGAGGCAAAATTTTTTTTAAGGGTTTTTGAACCGCTGAAGGCCCAAGAAGCTATAGAACAAATGATGCAAAATCATGCCTTCTGGGTGTTCCCCAGACCCTTTCTTAAACTGAAAATGCAAGTTCTGTTTTAATAATTTTATGACAATATTTTGGTCTCAAAGCAAAATCACATTATAGATTCAGTGTTAGACTTAAGTTTCTAGGAACAACATCAAAAGACAAATATGCATGATAAAGCAAAAATGTAATTCACATAGTTAAGTCTGTGGCTGCTGTGTTTTTTTAAACTCATGATCAAGTTAGTAATAAAATTACTAAATTACAAAATGAATGCTACACTAACAGAATACAGAAGGGCAATCAATGAACAAAAGACAAATAAATAAGAAACATTGATCCCGAAAAATCAGGGGCTACGTCTGAGGGAGAACAGAACTTGCTTCTTGCAAGGCACTCACAGTGAACATAATTTGATATGGAGACAAGCGTTTGGTTTTGAAATTTCCTACATGAGGCATTTGTCTCAAGGTAGTTACGGCCCTGATTTAATAAAAGTGAGGTAAGTGTTCCTGAGACAATAAACCTCAAGTTAAATGAAACCATTTTTCTGACATTTCAAGTATATTTAAATAATATTTATACTTTTATTATTAAAAGATATGGGAAGTGTTTCCCGATTTTTTTTTGGAAAAAAGATGAATTTATGAAGAATCTGGTGCCATCTCATACTTTCGATTAGACCTGCTGAGTTATTTCTTTTCAATACATTGCAAGTCAGGTAATTTATTTTCAAACTACCACAGAACAAACCATTTATTTTTGTGATTATCAAGGCTGAGTTATTTATTTTCAAAATCCTCCTGCCCCCCCCCCCCCCCCCCCCCCCCCCCAGAATATCAAATGGTCGTCCCCTAATGATTCAAACATTATATCCGCTAACTTCCTGGGTCCCTGAGGCTTCAACGTGCACCACACTTCGCGTTAGGTGTCTTCAGAGACGTCCGCGTTGAAGAAGTGAACTACTAAATCGATCTTCGTGATATCAGCCTTTAGTCAGAGATATGATTCCTGCATATATATCTCTCTGGTTAAGTAATGAAAATTTAATGGCAGCAATACATTTTTTTAAATTCAATAGAATCTTTGACTACAACATAATTTTGTATTTGTCTCAGCTGGGATATCATATCGTAGTTATTATATTGACGCAGGTATGCAAAAAGCAATATATTTACAAAGGTTACACTATAACTATATCACAATATATAAATAACTACAGAGAAACAAAAGTATCAAATAAAAATCTCCGAGTTTTCTTGTGTCTAAAGATTATGTCGTCACAAAGGTAAAAAGTTACTGTTGGTCAGTTAGATGGTCATAAAGTAAGCAAAAAAAAAACACCTATACAGCATTTAACAGAAATATAATCATAAAATCAAAATCGATCTACAAAACTTTTTTTCATAGCAGACGAAAACACAAAGTTACAGAACACTCCTAAACAGAACAAAGAGTTGTAACAAACACTCAGCGAAAACAGGACGTGGCAGTTTAACAACACGGAACAAATCAATAGTCCATGATCTAAGCGACCTTCAGCCAAGGTAGCGTGTCATAACAGCAAGTCAGCGACTATCTGGTGAGTAAATAAACACTTATTTTTCACGAAAAGAAGGTTACTTGGTCAAATGGAAGATTTTATGAAATTTATTAAAGGTAGAAAATACAGTTTTACTAATTATTTTAACAAGGAAATGTGAAACGAAACGACGAAAACATGTTTTCCACTTCGTGGGCAACTGCATGGTCACACTGCCAAGTAAGATGGCTGCGTTTGTTTGCTCGTATTATTTTCAGTCAAAAGTGGCTAGTTTATTAAAGTCATATTTTTATTTCTAATGCATATTTAAAAATATTTTGTTAATACTATCAAAGTATGTTTACAATGAAATGAACAAAAGCTGTATAAGCTGTTAATGTTATCGACTATCGAACTAGTGTCCATGACAAAGACGTGCTATTTTTAGACAGCCATATCAGACTATCGACCCTTTACTTTAGAAACATGTTCTGACGAAGAACATGAGTATCTGTTTTCCTGTTTGTTGTAAATAAACAGCCTTTGGTATTTGTGTATTAAAGAATGAATACTTCCTGTTAATAGATATTGTTGTACAGGAAATGGTGCAAAAGCCAAAAACAGTATTAAAACTAAGAAAAGTTTTAAAGAAGACTCATTATTTGCTTTGTTTGGCAAACTTTTTTTTTATACCCCTGATAAAAAAATGATAAAGAATGGAAAAAAGTCAGTTAAAGGAGTATTTTAATTTTTAAATGAAACCAGTCTTTTTTTCCAATGAGATATTTTTCATGTGTATAGTGATTTAAGACACGGAACATTTGATTATCTGTGGAGTCCTGTGATTTATATCACGCCAGTTTTTTGTTAACCATGCAAACCAAGCAAGAATATTTTTTTCAGTCAATCCAAAGCAACAACATTGTTTCAACATACCTAATGACATACATATCATACTTGCTGAAGAAGATGCGAGAATATTTTTTTTAGCAACTGAATAGGCTAGATTATATATTTTTTTATCAAAATGAGGATTGACGTTTCTATAAATCTAGTTTATCCTTGTCACATGTTCATTAGATTGCAGTGGAGTCAACTTAGTTATTTTTTAAACGAAATCAGAACTTTTGGCAGTGGTTTTAGGGTCAGAGCACAGCTTTGGTGGGTGACAAGGGAGACAAAGGTCCTCATGAAGCACATAGGGTTCAAGACAATGTCATTAGTGCTTGTCAGAACCTTGTTTATTTACTTGTAATATTACTTCATATTTACATATACATTCTGGAAACAAGTTTTGTCCAATCAAGGATAATCATATGCTAAAAAATAAATTGTAGGACAACAGATAAAAGTTAAATCCAAATACACAATTACATCTTTTCTCTGGAAATGTGTCTCTTTGGCACATGTTTCCTTCAATGGTTGCCAAGTGACTTTTCATGCCAAATATAAATTCAACCCCCGATAGCAGTATTGTAAGTATCTAGTTTAATAGAAGGGAAAGCCAGCAAAGAACTATCAGAGCTAATAATGTGGTTGATTTGTAGTACATGTATTATATACAAACCAATATAATAATGATGTTTTGTCCAGTGGTTAATATTTCAAGTATTGTCGAGATGAGGACAAAACAATAAATTTATTAAAAGGAAGCTCTACTGTACAAAGTGGTTCGATTGGGATGAAGGGCATCAGGTTATAAGATAACCACTGGAAAATAAGGGTCTGTTGGAAATTGTGAAGAAATTGTACATAAGTATCCCTCATAGTTGTTGCAGTGGTTCTTAATTGTGCAGAGAGTGTGGCATTTTTGCTACTCAAGAAATCAGATTTAACATCCTTTTACACTGCTGAGTATTTATACAACTGTTAATCCCAAATTGCTAATTGGATCCACTTTGCGATAAAAAAAAAATTTTATTCCCTTAGAACATACATTTGTAAAATTATACATTAATGAAGTTATAAATGTTAAACTGAATTGGAAGCAACTGGTTTTACTGCACACATTGTGGTACACAACTGGATTGTTCCTGTATCAAGTGAGGAACCTTTTCGTATTAATACATGTAGTTGAAGCTTGATATTTTTTGTCGTTTAGGCAAAAAAAAAATGTGTGCATATAGATTTTTTTTCATTTTGCCAAATTTTTTCCACTTACGAGTAAACATGTTCACTTCATTTGAACTTCAGTGGATAATTATACCCCACGCAACGAGTTGCGGAGGGTATAATGTTTTTGACCCGTCAGTCCTGTTTCTTGTCATCGCAACTCCTCTCAAACCACACAACAGAATTTCACGAAACCTTTTTAGATAATAAGGACATACTATGTAGTTGTGCATATCGACAGGAAATTGAGATTCAATTTTTTTTCTAGGAGTTACGCCCCTTTGAACTTATTTACTTTAATGTACTACTGCAACAGTTTGTCATCACAACTCCTTTGATACCACACAACAGAATTTCATGAAACCTTTTTAGATAATAAGGACATACTATGTAGATGTGCATATCGACAGGAAATTACGGTTCAATTTTTTTTCTAGGAGTTACGCCCCTTTGAACTTATTTGCTTCAATGTACTATGCAACAGTTTGTCATCGCAACTCCTCTGATACCACACAACAGAATTTCATGAAACCTTTTTAGATAATAAGGACATACTATGTAGATGTGCATATCGACAGGAAATTACGGTTCAATTTTTTTTCTAGGAGTTACGCCCCTTTGAACTTATTTGCTTCAATGTACTACTGCAACAGTTTGTCATCGCAACTCCTCTGAAACCACACAACAGAATTTCATGAAACTTTGTAGATAATAAGGACATACTATGTAGATGTGCATATCGACAGGAAATTATGATTCAATTTTTTTTTCTTATACAATTTTTTTTCTTACACATATTTTATTTCTCCAATGACAATGTGAGGACGTGGGGTATGTGAGCGCGCTCACTAAGGTTCTTTAATTGTTTCATTGGCAATCATACCACATCTCCTTAATTTTATATGTATAAGAACCAAATGCAATAACAATTTACTACTACTAGTGCCAATAAAATTTGAGTGTAGATTTTTGGAGTTTTAAAAAAGGGTAGATAGGGAAATCCTAAACCAAAGTATTTTTTAATATGACTTTGGGGAATAACTTAAATTCAGCATTCAAGACAATGCTACTTTTTGAAAGCCTTTGGGATAAGTTAATGTGTTGAAAACTCCTTTTTAAAAAAGAAGTGTTGTAAATATTCCTAAGGTTCAATAAAAAGAAATAAGGGCAAATTCAATTTTTCCATTTTCCCAAAAAATGAATGGTCAAAGTCATCGGTTGTCACTATCAAGGTTTTTCATCTTTGACTAGGTAAACTTGGTCCAAGTCATCGGTTGTCACTATCAAAGTTTTTCATCAAAACTTTGTCAAAGAAAAGACTTCACATTAATGGGACAATTCCCTTCCAAGTCCATTCAAGTTTCAAGAAAAATATAATGGGATTCTGTTCCATCAACTCCTCAAAGTTGTCTTTTGACTGTTGTCACTATAAAAAAATCCATCAAAAACTTGGACCAAGAAAAGTTTGATAGTGACAATGGGCCTTTATATATATCATGTATGCTATTAAAGAATAAAATGTTGTTTCATTAATAAAAAATGATATCCCTACTTGAGGGATATATTTATGATATTGTAGCTAGTTACCCATTTGGGGAACTACAAACACATGTATTTCCTATTTAGGAAATGTTTGGTTGAACATGTATGTACATGTAATCTGTACATGCTGTTTATATACAAACATGTGCATACATTTCTTGTTCTACATCTAAATAACATAATACATGAGAATAATTTATTACATGTACATTTCAAAGTTTTATTTGTTTTAGTAGTTTATATCAGATTTTCTTTCTCATTCTGGTCATGAAATTTGATTGGATAATTGGTTGACAGCACATGTTTTTCCCAATGGTTTTCTATATTGATGAATGTTTGGCTGGCATTTATGACATCTGTTGTTTAATCTGAGTGACATATGTTATTCTATTTGCCAAGTTAAAGGGTGAAAAAAGAACTTTCAGATTAATGAGACAGATTTGTTAAAAATATATCATGGTGAAATAAGATTGTTTTAAATTGAGTCATATTTTGAACAATGATATTTCATATTTAGCACCAATTATCTTATATAAGTGAGTGATGATTCTTATTGGCTTTAAAGTTTAATATAGGAAATCATTTTCTGATCCTAAATGTTTTTTATTTGGGGGGGGGGGGGGGGGGGGGGGAGTAAAAGAGGTGTTCTCATTATTCCCTTTAAGTATATTACATACATGTAGAATAGGAAACAATTTTAAAGTCACTGTTGTTGGATAAATTCAGTTATTTTGACATGAAAAAATTATTTTACACTCAGCATTATTTTAAAATCAAACCCCACCCCTTTTAGGTGCTCTACTTACAATGTAACCAAGTTTAAGATGGAGATATCTGTGTTTTTTGTTGTGATTGTTCTGAGGATGAGCAATTATAGATATCCTATTACACTACAAACTTGTACATGTATCTTGACAAAGATGGTTAAAAAACTTTAAATATATGTTGATAAAAGAGTATGCCAGTGGAAGGTGTAAGTGATCATTAGGTTGACAATAGATTTTATTGTACTCTTTGTACTCTTGTATGTTATGTTTTAACTATTAACCATGTTAAATAATGGGAAACCAAATTTGTGGCTTTCATTCTTTATTTGAACATTACAATTCCTCTCAAATTGTAAATTTCCAAGTGGCCACTTACAAATATATATAAATGTGTTATAAATGTTTCCTATCTCAAATTTAAATGCTTCATGAGGTAAATTCTGCTGTGTACAGATATCTATATTACTAAATGAATAGAGTTGAAATTTGGTGTCGCGTTTTTCTTCTTTCACATAAAATCCATGAATATTGTTTTATACCACAAAGGGGTAATGACCAGCGTAGTTTATTATGTGTTCATTTCAAGATCTTTTGGGGGGTATTTGGGGGTTAAAATTGGAAAAAAGCCAGTTCGGATCG